GGCAACAGCACTGAATTTAGGTAGAGTTTAGTTTATACAGAAGTTAGATGTGGGTGGTGCAAAGCAAGTGACAAAATGTTACATAATTGGTTACATACACTGAGTCCTATACTGACAGGCAGCTAGACTTGAAACAAAGGAATTCTTATCATGATACAGAAACACTCTGGGGACCAGAGGAGGGGCCCTCACAGAGTAAGCATGGTTAAAGGCATTACCATAATATAGGAACATTCTGGAGAGGGACCCTTGAACTAGCCCAGGGTGCCTTAACCCATAGGTAGTTACTCTGACTCAGTGCTCAGGGGAGGTGTGCAGCTGGCTGTAGATACTGTCAAGGTCAATTGAATTCAGCAGAAACAATAGAACAGAAACTTGGCCACAGATTTCTAATTGATCATGAAATATCTATAAGTATATCTTATAAATGTGTTCCTATATTATAATTGTGCCCTAATATTCCCATTTCTATTACAGAGGAAAAATTGACTCCCTCAAATTCCCCAATATCTTCAGTAACTAGAAGCTGATAAGAGGAAGTGGCTTGTAAAAGCAATTGGTGGCATATAGCTTAACAACTGCAAGTGTCTTTACCTTGAACTTGAATTTGAAATTCCTAATGCCTTGAATTTTTATATATTTCTAGAATGCTAATACATATTATCTATAAGGAAAACATTTACTGCAGGCTGTTATTCTCTGGGATGCAACTCCAGCACACTAGTCTAACATCATTAAGGTGAAATTTAATAAATTGAAATGAATTCCTCTCCTTGGCTTAAAACATAAAAATACTTGGTGCAACTGAGTCTTGGACCTTCCCACAGTGACAGATAATTCCTTGGTAAATTCAGCGAATATTTTCAGTTCTCTTTCAATTGACCCATCAGTTCTGGCACTGATGAATAGTTCTTCCATCTTGAAATTCTTTCCTTGGCTTTCATATACAATGCTCCTGATTTTTTCCCTACCAACTCTTTTCTATTTCTTAAATGTTCTTTGCAAATACCTCTTTCTTTTCCAGTTTTCAGGAGATGATATCCTTGTAATGGGAAATCGCAGCAAAGGTTATTGCCCAGGCATTAAAACAATGCCATCCACAAAGGCCTCCACCCAGTGGTCAGAGATAACAACTTATAGGCGGATCACCGGCAAGGCCTCCCAGGCTCCTCCTTTTCCATCTGCTTCCTTCAAGAGGACACTGGGGCCTGAGCCCCAGCCTCTGCTGTCCCTCCCACAGCCAGTCAGCTCTCCAGTTCTGCTCGCTTTGCTCCTGAAATCTGTCAGATCAACCCATTGCCCTATTTTTTTTTTTTCACTGCTATTACTATAGCTTAGGCCACCAAAAATTCTTTCAGGATTGTTGTATTCTAATTCATTTTTCTTATAAAAGCAGAGAAATCATTATCTAGAAAAGTGAATCTACCTAAAGCAACAATTTCCCCTTCCTAATACCTCATGGCAAAATGTAAACTCTTCCATATTGTTTATGATCACCGTTAAAAATGAGTGCTATCTTCTCTGGCCTGATTCTTTTCAGCATCCTACCTCTTACATCTTTCTAAGAAGCTGAATTTCCTTCAAATTCTTGAATATGGTGTGCTCTCTCCGATCTCTAAGCCTTCTGTGGAAGTAGTCGAAGGACAGGCACTGAAGTTAGGTATGACTTCTATTGCCTGTTCCTCTAGTTCACTGATGGTGAATCTTTTACAGCTTTCAGAAACATGAGCTGTAGGTTCACTACCATTGTGTTAGTTCCTGGCCTTATATCTTGAACACATCAGAGTCACATGCTAATTAACAATGGGGACACATTCCTAGAAATTCAATTCTAAGTAATTTTGTCCTTGTGTGACAATGATGGAATGTACTTACATAAACTAAGATGGCCATGACAATAATGAGGCAATATAATCTAGGAACACCATATATATGGCAAGCTTGCTATCTTTCTTTGGTGCCCCTATTTCCTCATCTATCAACTGGATGACAATTATCTTTAAAACAAAGTTGTGGATTTAGGTACTCAACAGGTGATTGTCAATTATTTTAGATGAGAAGGTCTATTCAGAAATAATTGATACAAAAAGATCTTGGAGTTTTGGTAGACTCTTGTCAACACTGTAATACACTGTAACTACTAAATGATCATTACCACCCTAGGATAAATTACAATGATTGAAAAAGGATGCACTAAGTCTAGTATAATATCTTTCACAGGCATTTCTGAATATTATTACACCATAAAAGGCACATTTAAAATGAAAGACTATCCAGAACACAGTGGCTCATATGGTACCTGTGGAGATGTAAAATTCTGGATGTTTTAAAATAAACCCAATATAATTTACTAAAAGACTATGTCTGTGGGTATGAGAGAAAGAAAAGGATAACTCCTACATTTTGGCTTGAACAACTGGATTTGCAAGGGACTGTGATTTAAAAAAAGAGGTTGAGGATATAGCAATTGAGCTGAGACAGTAAAGGGAACTAGGATTTCACAATTGGTCAAGGCACATTTGATTTACCTAAGCAAAAATGCCAGGCAAGCATTTGAATATAAGACTCTGAGCTTAATAAAGATATGCAGTCTAGACATACAAATTTGGGGGTTTTAACTGTATGAATGATATTTAAAGCTATGAGAATGAGTGAAATTACCAAGGGAATAAATGTAAAAAATGTCCAAGTACCGAATTTTGGGGTAACCCCACGTTAAATGGCTAAGGAGAAAAGCATGATTCAGCCAAGGAAACTAAAGGGAGAAAGGAATAAAATAGGTCATAAAGATGGTGGCCTAGAAGAAAGGTTCAGAGAGTTATGCAAGGATGACACTGTGATAAATTATGCAAATACAACAGACCAGCTTACAGATTATCAAAATGGAGGTCTCCTTGGTAACCCTGAAGCATCTTCAGAAAAGTAATAGAAGCAACAAACCTAATTTGAGTGGGTTTAGAAGAGAAAAGAAAAAGTCACAGGCAATAGCTTCAAGGGGGGAAAAGTAGAAAAGACTTAGAAGAAGAAAAATTAACAACTGATCCTTATGTCTACAATTATTCAAGATGGCTGAATACATATTAAAAGGGATATTCAAAAAGGAGTCCTACAATGTAAAATTAGACTAAATGACTTAGTCTCTTCTAACTCCATGGCAATGGTTTTATAGCTTGAGAAATGCTTCAGAGTTAAACACTTATCTGGCAAGCAAACAAGCTAGGCTGACCTGGGCACAATGGTGCATACTTGTAATCCTAGCTACCTAGAAGGCTGAAGTAGGAGCATCAATGATTGGAAGTTCAAACCCAGCCTGGGCAATTAAATAAGACACTATCTATACACAAACAAACTAACTAATAGAAAACTCTGGGTTTGATCCTCAGGACAGAGCGCAAGGGGTAGGGGTAGGATTCCAGGTTGGTGTAGTCCAGTTATATGATCTACGGTAAGCCATTCTCAAATAATAACTCTAAAACTTTATGATCTACTTTATTTAGGAGTGAGGGAGTGACAAGGCATGTAAGTTTTCAGGGCCCTATGCATCACAACGTCTTACAGATGACTTAAATTTCCAAAGAGCCAAAGAGAGAGAGGTCCTAATCGGTCTGGTTTTTTGAGAGAGGGACTTAAAATATTAAAAGTTAAATGGTTTTATATTCAAGTTTTAGCCTGGACTGTTTTGACTAATTCTTTGAAAGAATTTTGGGGCTGGGGATTTAGCTTAGCGGCATAAGCACCTGCCTTGCAAGCAGGTAGTCGTGAGTTCCATCCCTGGTACCGATGAAAAGGAAAAAGAAAGAATTTCAAAGGATTAGTGCCAAATTAATATACGTGACTTTGTGACCATTTCAAAAATCTAATAAACAAGACTTGTAAATTTAATGATAGCATTGAAACAACTGCATAAATAATAAATCACACTTATAAATGTAATAGGTAAATTAAAAACATATAAGAGCATCTGATGAATTAGTACAGAGCTGGTGTTAAACAAGAATTTTATTTCTCAAACTTATATGTCACTTAAATTTTAATTAAAAAGCAACTAAAAATAAACATTATGATTATATACAAATTAAAACATGTATAAATAAAATAAAATAATTTAAACTTACAGAGTAAAGTAGAAAGTTTTATACCTTGAAAAGTAATTAATTTAAAATCAATGAATTGGTTGAATATTGAGTAAAACACATTTTTTTAATGTGTTACTGTAAATTGGAACAAGGGCCTTGGTAGGCAAGTGCTCTGTCACTAAGCTATGTTCCCACCCCTTTTTACTTCATTTTGAAAAAGAATTCTCTAAGTTTACAGGGTGGCTTTGAACTCCCCTATATGTGCATGCGGACACTATGAAAGTATAGTAGAGATGCTAATAATTTTTTTCTCTGGGCTGTTGGATTACAAGCAATTTTCATTTAACACTGATGTATACTGGTTACCTTTTATCATTTAACAAATGCTAAATTTATATTCAGAAAAGCCAAATATGCATTAGTTTTGAAACCAAAACAATAACCAATTTTTTAAAAAAAATGGTGAGATAAGATCTTGCTATGTAGCCCAGCTGGCCTCAAACTTGTGCTGTTCCTCCTGCGTCAGCCCATGGAGTTCTAGGATTACAGGCACGTGCCACCACTCTTGATTCAAAAACTTTATTATAGGGGAAAAACATGAAGACTCACTGATAAAGGTCACTAGTGTGTCATCTAAAAGTAATACATCTCAAAATAAAACATACCTTCAAGTATATTGTCTATAATAACACCGTAATATTTACAAAATAATAAAAATTTCCATGCAAAATATCAAGTCAATTTTAAAAAAGGAATCTTCATTTAATCCAAAGGGCAAAGTTATCTCAATGGTAAATTATATATTAGATAATTTTTATAAACTGAAAAGTCAAATTATAACTGCAAGTTTTATGTTCATAATACTTAAAGTAAGACAAAAGATGAGCTATACATGATTTTATATTTTCTGATTTCCATTCCCAGATCCTATAGAGCGATGGTGGGACGCTGAGAAAATTCGTGGACTCTTTTTCCAAACCCTTGGGTAAGCCCAAATCCCATGCACTGTGTTAGACAGAATAAGGAGCGTGCTGATAAAACACCCGACATGGGGAGGGACAAGGTTTATTTGTAGGATTTACCAGTTTCTGTTCTGTATGAATCTTCTCACCTGCAGAGTTCATTCTGCCAATGTGATGACCCTGAATGTGCAGCTTTCAAAAGCCCAAGAGACTCCAGCACTGTTAATTCACTGCTAAACGATTCCAAGCTGCTTCCACGTGGTAAGTAAATATATTATGGAATCAACTTTTTGGAAGGGAGTGAGGAAGAGGAAAGGAAATCAGAGAAAATATAAAACAAGAAAAAACAAACAAAAAAAGTTTAGAAATCATTTGCTTATTTCCTGTCCTACAACTAACCTAAAACATTCCTTTTACAATTACAATTTTTTATATTTGTCCATGTACCTTTTTCTATATGTTCCTTTATGAATGTGGTTATCATGAAGTCTGATTATGTTTGTAAAAGTTGAGTCAAAAGCACATATGGGAAGTGTTTTGAGTTCTTTGGAAAGAAAATGAATGGTAATTTTTTTTATCGCAAGATATCTTCATCAGATGAGCGCAGAATCACTTCCTCAGGGAAACCATCCCTGAACTTGCAGGCCAGATCACTTTCCTCACAGACAGCATGTCTGCAGGTGTGAATTCACACTGAATTGTGTGTTTCTTCCATTTCTGCCTTCTCCATCTCCCTACTGTACTAAAGCTTCAAGGGCAGAATGGTATTGCAGAGCTCTCCTCCTTCACCAGCTCAGTCCCTATTACTGGCAAGTGCTCCAAAAAACATTTTTAAAACTACATTTTCACTATGGAAAGCAGCTTATGGTGCATGCTTTATACATGCACACAGAGCTATATCTCTTCCCTTGGAAAATGTCATGAAAACTCAATGAAGGGATATGGAGTTTTTAAAAAATCAGCATGGCTTTATCCTCCTCTCCTCCATATTGGAAACTATGTAAAGATGTGAAAAGTTGAGGAAATGGAACTTGGTATAGAATTCACAGAGCCAGTATTACATGACTGGTAGACAGCTAGAATTATTTTTGCCACATATTCAGTTTTAGAAAGATACTTGTGTGTTCAAAAGTACCGTAACGTATGAAAAAGAGAAGTGTGTTATCAGCATTGGAAGCTCTGTGTTTGAAACCACTGTGGTCCAAATATAAACAAAGATGTAACTGAGTGCAAATTATTAAGCATGATTGCTATTTACAAGGTGACCTAATTACTGCCTCTTAACTCTTGGCAAATCTGAGAGTACAAAGACAGCTTTGAATAGTATCAATAAGTCACTTATATTTTTAGAAGTAATGAACAATCCAAAATAATATTCTTGAGGATTAACAGTTCTAATACTAAGAGAGTAATTTTTAAATTAGATGAGACAAGAAAGCAACGCAAATGACTCACATTTGAGACTCCACTAAGCACAGTTGGTATTTTCCACCCACTGCTCCAATGAAAAAAGGGTAAGCGGTAAAAATGTGATTCTGAGAGTTTTAAACCATATTGTACAGAAGTCACATCAAATTAATACTGAGGACCATTTAGAGCTTTTATTCTGAAAAGCTTTTGAAAGGGGATTAAACTATGAAAACTCTCATGATACTAAAGTACCTATTAATGGGTTGAGGAGGTAAGAAAGGAACAATGAGAGTGTTATTTTTAGATAAATCTTTACTTTGTCTGTAGCAGCACAAAGCTTGCTCTCAGGGCATACCAACAGCTCTCCAGCAGTATCCCACGCATACAAGTGCTGATTAGCAGAATTCTGTTGTCTTCCCTTTTTGAAAATTGGTCATTTTCTTTAAATAGTGATATGGGGGGCTAAAATATTAACAGATACAAATATAATTTGATGATACGGACAACATTAACAGAACAAAGTCTTAAGTAATGCAATTCTCAAAAGGCTATCATGAACTCTTTGTTTTCTTTAACTGCAGATAAGTGATCTATTCAAGGCCTCTATAAAACTGTCCCCTCCCCAAATTAGTTGCCACTTCCTGTGATATCTTGCAGAATACATAATTATTTTTTTTTAAAAAAAGGAAAGAGCAGGAGGAATTAGAACAGGAGCCTACATAGTTGTCATCTCATCAAATATAATGAATGCTCAAGAGGTTTCAATTTCATGTCTTTCCAGTGGTTTGTCCAATCACAATAGACTACTGGAAGAGAAAAGAGTAGGCAAAAAACATACTCTTCTTCATCAGCCCCAGCTAGCACCTGTAGCCTCCCAACATATACCAGCGATCTGACAAAGTAACAGCCCCCAAAGACAACTGGAAATGTTGCTAGCCTGCTGAGCCTCCAGCAGCAAGTGGGACACAGCACATGGTGGATGACAGCTTTGAATCTGTCCCTTCTTGCAGACTTTTTTCCTCTCTTCCCTGACACATAGTCACACACTCACATAGCACTCTTACGGCTAATGATGCAAACACAAAGTGTAAAGTCTACTTAATTTGACCCTTGTTAAACTCCTAATTGGATTGGAGCAGGTTGAAGTAGAAAGCAACCCTGGATTATTCAGGAAAGCTCTTACAAAATGAAGCCCAAATTACAAAAGGCAGCTCAGGCTGCAGGACATCACAAAGAATAGGCAATGAATTGCAGCTGTCACTTAAGTTAAAAATCTAATCAATTGCCTTTTTTAAACAGGTAACTTTTAGAACAGTTTCTTCATTGTGATACTCTTCAGAGTACGCTTGACCCAAATTTAATAAGCTGCTATTAAAGCAGAAGAGGAGCTATAGAGCAAACACTGGAGAATGAGATGGTGCATTCAGAGTCTTAATGATTTTAAAATGACTACAACCATTGCTTCATTCATGAGGAACAAAGCTCAGGCTCTCTACTCCACAATGTCTTAACATAAACTGTCTAAGCAGACAGCATTCATTTGTCCTTCATGAACTGCAAAGGTCAGCCGCATTGCTGCCGATATGGCAACAGTTTAATTGTGTTCCTTCTGTAGGAAATCTGAGGGAGAAACTGAGGAGTCCGTCTATATGAAAACTAGCTTTTCTGCAAGGAAATATACAGCTTAAGTAGAGAGATGAGGGGGTGCATGATATGCAGACAGGTGTAAAACATGAAGTAATTATAGAAGCTCAAATTAGTTCTTAGGCCTGAGGCGAAAAAGAGAACAGTGCCTTGACAAAAGGGAATAGCAAATAAGGGTAGCAAACAAAAAATGGCTTGAATGTGTAAATTAGCAAGAAAAATGAGACAGAAAAGCAGCTTTACTCTACCATTATTCCCCACATGAGAACAGAGCAGCTGAACATGATCAAGAGCGCTTTGGAGAAGAGAGACAGACATCAACACAGACTCCAAGCCAAGAGTGGCAGCTCCGCACTTTCCAGTCAGTCACTCATTATGTGCTGAAGTGCTCTTGAGAAGTGCCTCTTAGACTTGACCTATCATATTACTTCTTCTGTAAACACATAATCCCTGCTTGTTAGGTGGTGTCAACACTAGCATTCACTCACTATGGGAGTCTTTTTGCGAACAGACACTTTAGAAGTGCTGCCAAAACCAAAGAATTGACACCATAATAAAACAATTTGAATTTCAACAAGGTAAACAGATCTAATGCTTTTCTGTAAAATGCAATGTAAAGAGCATTACATCAATTTTCTCTCATTTGAGAAAAAAAAAAGCTGTTTGCTATGGCAATACTATTCTCTTCTGCAAATGATTATGATTAACTTGCGTTACAGATCCAAGGCCAGAAATAATCTCTACCATTGTCTGGTATGCTCACCCAAATTTCACAAAATACTTTTCTTTAGGCAACACCACCCTACAAATCTCAACCAAAACGTCATGGACAACTCATTAGTAATATCAAAACTGTGTTTGTCACTTGGACCAGACATGGCTGACCACAGGTATCAGGGGGAAAATGTAATGGAGCTTTTGGCTCACTGTATTGGTGAGGACAGGTATCATTTAATCAAATAATAATGATAACTCGACATTTAATGCAGGTAAATGAAAAAATATAACTGTACTTTTAAATAGAAATTTTATTATTACATTTCAGATTTAAAATGAGAATATTCTCAGGGTAAATTTGCATACGATATATGGGCAAAGAGAATGATACCAGAATTTTGTTTTTCAGCATCTTTTCTTCAGATTACCCTAGACCAGGATTTTATATAATACTAAGTATAATCTCAGCTCTTCTAGTGCTTTAAGAAAAGACTTCACTATCTGATATTAAGGCCATCTATAAATAAATCAAATGTGATGTCTTTGTGTGGTACAGTAGTGATGTGTTACCCTGGTTTATTCTATCAGGTAACACTGCCAGCAGCCTCATGCCTTTGGTCTTCTTGCTCTGGGTATTAGATAGGAACCAACTTGGTTGGGGAGGAAAAAACTGAACCACAATGACCAACTATTTGCCATGCCTAATGAAAGATACATTAGTAACTATTACTGGACCCATAAAACAATGAAAGTGCAATAAAAATTTTCAAACTGGGGAAGATTTTCTTTAAAAAAAAAGGTTAACCAAGTTACACTGTGAAACACTTCATAAGCAAGTAATCCTTAGTGCCCATGAAAATGTCCAGATGCTATGCCTAGATTTACACAGATCTTCCTGCTATCTGAATTAATCTTGTATAGGTAAATCAGAAACTCTCCAATCTATTTGCTTATTTCCCTTATGAAATCTGATATATGCGAAGTTTAAAGAATAGAGCTTCAGAATGTATCAAAATATGTGAAGTTATCCAGTTACAGCATTTTCTTCTTAAATAATTGTTTGTGAAAAAGTGAATGACATAAATCACATCTAAAGTAAAAAATAATAGCCAATCTTACAATTTTTAGTAAACCAAAAAATACTTCCTGTAGATTTTATTCTAAATAGAACTTTTACATATTTGTTAAGAAATTAAAGGCATAAAATATCTAGCTATAGGTTAGATTATAAATGGAGAGCATAATTCCAAGATTTTAGAGTTCTCATTCTGCCCAACATTAGATCATATACCATACCTTCCTAATTCTGTAGTACAAGGTACTGTTTAAATTGGTGTTTCAATAGTTATGACTGAAAGATGCTATGCCTCAACTTACACACATCTTCCTGCTATCTAAATTAATCTCAAATAGGTAAATCAGAAAATCCAGATGTTACTTTCTTCAGCACTCTACAGATATTAATTAGTTAATCTGAAGAATATGCTAAA